GAGTTCATCGTTACCCAGAATCCTCTGCCAAACACCATACAGGACTTTTGGAGGATGATCTGGGATCACAATGCACAGATCATAGTTTCTCTGCCAGATACACAGAGCGCCGTGAGTCACACGCACACAAACACCTTTAAACTTCTGCACACATCCGTATGTAATAACTGAGGCCTGTCGTTTCTGACCGTCACAGAGCAGAGAGGGAGAGTGTGTGTACTGGCCCACTAAAGATCAGCCAATCAGCTGCGAGACCTTCACTGTGACCTTCAGGGGTGAGGACAAACTGTGCCTGTCCAATGAGGAGTCACTCGTGGTACAGGACTTCATTTTGGAGGCCCTGAAGGTGAATAAAACTTATTTCATTTATGAAGCCAGAACTCCGTATTTGCAGCTGCTCAGGGTGAATCTCACAAAACCTGTCAAGAACATGCTTGGGTCATATTTCACCCCACAATCAACATGATTATATATATTTACAGAAAATATATATATATATATATATATATATATATACTGCATAAAAATGAATTTATTGACATTTTAGTGTCAGTTGATTTTTTTTTCATTGTGATATTTTCATTGTGATGTTATTTTTATTATAATTAAACCTATTTTACAACTCAATACAGGAAAATAAATAAATGGCAGTAGTTGTTGTGCTGCCTTTATTTTAAATAAAAATATTTTTGTACAGTAGTTTTTACTATATTACAGCAATGAGAATCTAATGAAAAGAATGATTGAAAATATAAGAAAGAACTTAAGTAAAAACATATGGACATATTACAGTACAAATGACAATTTATAATATTCTAAAAGATTAATTTATAAAATTATTTATATAATTATTGTTTACAATATTTTTAATTTATAATATTATAAAAGTATAAATCATAATATTATTGTATAATGTAATTTAATATGTAAATGTAAAATAATCAGTAAAAAGGTACTAAATAAATAAATAGTAGTAGTATTTGCACTGCCTTTATTTTAAATAGAAATGTTTAATTACTGTAAATTTTACTATATTACAATATCGAAATGCTAATGAGAATCACTTAAAAAATTAAAGAAAAGACTTAAGTAAAAACTATTCTTTATAATATTATAAAGTCATAATAATTAGTATTATTTAAATATTATTGTGTAATAATGTATAATGTAATTTAATATGTAAATTAAATGTAAAAAAAATAAATAAAAAAAACTTGTTAGTGACACTAAGATAGGCTTTCAATTTTTAATGCAAAAGTATATATTTTTGTTGTTTTTGTGACATTCACACCAAAAACAAAACAAAACAAAGCATTTAAGATTCTCACATTTAACATTTCTGAAAGTTGTCTTTGTGCTGGACATTGCATTTCAAACTGAAGCATTCAAGTCTGTGGAGCAACTGAAACGTGGCTGTATTTGACAGGACGACTATGTGCTGGAGGTACGGCAGTACCAGAGCCCTCGCTGGCCGAACCCTGACAGTCCCATCAGCAACTGCTTTGAGCTCATCAACATGATCAGAGAAGAGAGCTCGCGTCGAGAGGGACCCGCCATCATCCATGATGGGTAGAGTCTCATAGCATTGCTCTATCAGTGACTGCTATAGAGGAGTGTGTCACACCTCACTGTGTCTGTGCAGGTCTGGAGGGACGAGTGCTGCTTTACTCTGTTCACTGACCACCCTGGTTAACCAGCTGGAGGAGGAGAACAGTGTGGACGTCTATCAGACCGCCAGAATGATCAACCTCATGAGACCGGGCATCTTTAATGATATTGTAAGATGACTGAAATATTAGTATAGTCTGTTAAAGATATGAATTATAAAATGTGTATGGTTAAAGGAATAGTCCACTCACAAATGAAAATGTGCTTCAGATGTCCTCCCCTCAGGCCATCCAAGATGTAGATGAGGTTGTTTCTTCATCAGATTTGGAGAAATGTAGCATTCCATCACTTGTTCACCAATGGATGCTCTGCAGTGAATGGGTGCCGTCAGAATGAGAGTCCAAACAGCTGATGAAAACATCACAATCCACACCACTCCAGTCCACCAAATAACGTCTTGTGAAATTAAAAGCTGCGTGTTTGTAAGAAACAAATCCATCAGTGAGATGTTTTTAACATCAAACCGTTGCTTCTGGTTAAAATACGAGTCCTCTTATCCATAATATTGCTTTCTCCATTGAAAAAGTCGACTCAACTGAATCAGGAGAGAAATCTGCACAGATCAAGCACTGTTAACAAGCAAAAACAGTTCTAAAGAAATATATTTTGATCTGAGAGGACAACAGGGGATGGACTTTTTCACTGAAGGAACTGTGATTATGGACTCATATTTTAAGCCGAAGCAATGGTTTATAGTTAAAAACAACTTAATGATGGATTTGTTTCTTACAAATATGCATTTTTTGGCTTTCACAAGATGTTAATTGATGGACTGGAGTGGTGTGGATCACTTGTGGATTATTGTGATGTTTTTATCAGCTGTTTGGACTCTCATTCTGACGGCACCCATTCACTGCAGAGCATCCATTGGTGATCAAGTGATGCAATGCTACATTTCTCCAAATCTGATGAAGAAACATCTACATCTCGGATGGCCTGAGGGTGAGTAAATGTTGAGTACATTTTCATTTTGGGTGAACTTTTCCTTTTACATCTTCCTGCAGGATCAGTATCAGTTTCTCTACAAAGCGATCCTGAGTTTGGTGAGCACCAAGGAGGACGAGAGAGCTCTTCACTACTCGGAAAACAACGGCACGGTTCCCGCCAGCCCATCAGAAAGCCTGGAGTCTCTCATGTAGCTATACAGAGCACTGTCACACTTCACCCAAGGAAACGTACATTGAATCAAGAGAAAGTCGTTTTTGAAGCCCTCCCAAAGTCTCTACACGGACTACATGGGTACAGGATATACTGTCATTTGGTCTTTTATTGTGCCTTTTTGTTACCTTTGTACTTTTTTTGATATAATATTATTGTTGTAACTAATGCCAAAATTTCTACTCTTTGGAAAAGCAGTGACTGCTGTATTGCTGGTGATGTCTTAGGTTTAGTCAGACATAACTGTTGAAGAAATATTTATTTAAGTAGCAGGGGAATATGATTTCATACGGTATCTATTTTGGGGGTAAAAATTTTTAGATAGAAAAGCGTTCTTGAAAGTAGCCTCATAGTACAGAAGAGAGAGGTGTGATTCTAATATATAAAACCATCGGCCACACCAACAGACCAAAATACATTTATATGACTAGCGCTTCTTTTTTTACTATGTTTGTTATTGTAGCAATTGAATGTTTCATTTCTAATTGTAGAAATTCGAGATTTAAAAAAATAATAATTTACTTAGTTGATATGTTGTAACAGACATTTTCGTACAATTCTAATTTGTAATAATTAGAACTCTTACTGCATCCTTCTAGATTTAAATCAGCAGTGAATCTCTGCGCCGTTTCATAACCACCATTCAGTTATTTATCTCCATATTTATCAACTTTTATTTAAATTGTCTAATCATTTAGGCCTTTTGTCAAGCTTTAACACAGGATGTACTTGGATACAAGAAAGAAAGCACAATAAAAATAAACAAAACCGGATTTTACACGCACATCATTTCTTCTAGTGTTGGTCATTTCTTAACATTGTACTTTCTTCCACTGAGGTTCTAAACTGCTTAGCCACAAAATGTACGTGAGTGAATTGAAATCTTTTTAAAAAAATTTTTTTTTTTATAATTGTCTAGTTCTTATAAAAGTGATATTGAGAGACTACATATAGAAACACGTCAAACCAAAAGCATAAAAATGTAAAAACATGAGTAATTTGATGTTTTTTCTGCCTTCTTAAAATACATTTATATGACTAGCGCTTCTTTTTTTTTACTATGTTTGTTATTGTAGCAATTGAATTTTTCATTTCTAATTGTAGAAATTCGAGATTTAAAAAAAAAATAATTTACTTAGTTGATATGTTGTAACAGACATTTTCGTACAATTCTAATTTGTAATAATTAGAACTCTTACTGCATCCTTCTAGATTTAAATCAGCAGTGAATCTCTGCGCCGTTTCATAACCACCATTCAGTTATTTATCTCCATATTTATCAACTTTTATTTAAATTGTCTAATCATTTAGGCCTTTTGTCAAGCTTTAACACAGGATGTACTTGGATACAAGAAAGAAAGCACAATAAAAATAAACAAAACCGGATTTTACACGCACATCATTTCTTCTAGTGTTGGTCATTTCTTAACATTGTACTTTCTTCCACTGAGGTTCTAAACTGCTTAGCCACAAAATGTACGTGAGTGAATTGAAATCTTTTTAAAAAAAATTTTTTTTTTATAATTGTCTAGTTCTTATAAAAGTGATATTGAGAGACTACATATAGAAACACGTCAAACCAAAAGCATAAAAATGTAAAAACATGAGTAATTTGATGTTTTTTCTGCCGCCTTATGGTACTGATCTAAAAATTGAATATTTTAGTTACATTTTTAAAAGTGTTTCATAATTCTTGTGTGTTATACATTAGATTTACGATATTGAGAGACTACATGTAATAATCATTAATGGTAATCTAAGTCTGTAGGCAAGTCAGCTAACCAAAAGTATATAAATGGTAAAACATTAGTATTTTGCTCTAATTATGTTTTCCCGCTTTTGATGGTATTGATATGTTATTTAGCTTAAATTTTACTATTTGAATGAGTTACATTTTTAAAAGTTTCCTAATCCTTGTAAAAGTATTACACTCAGATTTCATGACCTTTCAAGTCCCTAGGCAAATTATATAGCACAAAGTCATAAAAATGCAAAAACACAGAATATTTTTTTTAATTACCTTTTCCATTGCATTATTTGTGTTTATTATTCAGATTAAAATGGATTGGCTTTTGATATGTATTTTTGGTCATTTATAGCCTTTAATAGACCTTGAGCTGGGCCACAAGGCTACAACTCCAAATCAAAATTGATTTTACAATACACATTTTACTCTAAATTTGTTTAAATGGCCCTAATTGAGACGACATTTCTTTCTCGCTGCCCGTTTAAGTCACTGGAAAAAAACTTAAATAGTGATTGATTGTGTAAAAGATTTTGCATATCTCATACCTCACATGAGCTCAAAATATTTTATTACATGTTATAGAAATGATCATATTATTATTAGATATAATTTCCAACTCTATGACACAGAGCTGTAAAAAAAGAAAATGCACAACTTAAATGGACAATGTTTATTGATTTATTATTTAATATAAACATATGTACATGAACATCATGAGACTTCAGATGGGCCATTTCCACTGGTTCGCCGGTGCTTCCTCCACGAGAGGCTCCCACGGTTTCCATTCCGTCATCTTCCTGGACAAAGCCAGCTCAGCCTCGGCCTGCAGACACACGGAGGTACGGCACACTGTATTCACTTTCTATAAACTTACTGTAAATGAGGATTTGAGATCTTTCATTATCACATCTTCTCACCTGTGAAATAACCTCCTCAATCTGTCCACAGTTGATTTTCTTTTCGAGCTTTTCTACATCATGCTCCTTTACAGCAAAAAAGCGACGTGCATACAAATCAATACAATTTCTTTTATCAGTTCAAGATAATACTTAAATCTAAATCTCATTCTTTTAGCATAGTAAAGCATATTTTCAATATCTTACAGATTTGACGTGGTTGAACCTCTGGGTGATCAGTTGCTCAGTGTATTTCCTGTAGGCAGCATCCTGAGGCATAGTTTGTAGAGAGCCCAGGATCTTTGTGTACAAAATCCGAAGACGCTTCAGGAGAGAAAGCAACACTTCAATAGCTGGCAATCACATGTGCACAATTCCTCTAACTTCCTCTAAAGAAAAAAAAAAACGGATAGTATATGCGGATTAAAATTAGAATTAATCGAAATGAAATTAAAACACTCACCTCATGTGGATTGTGGGAGACAGCAAGGCCAACCAAGCCTGTGGTCTAAAAATAAGACGACCAACAGATGCATATTTCCATGTATGAAGGTTATTCTTTAATGAAATCGTCAAGACAACTTATGCAATAAGGTCATTCGACATTTAACAATTAATACACGTGCATATTAATTTAAGCATTTGAGACATGGCAATGCCACAATTATGCTATAAAGACATTAACGCATGCATGCAGTGTCGTATAAATCTAACACTGAAGTGTCAAACGCAGAACTTTATTTCCCATGCATGACATTTACAGCTCCAGAAAGATATGAAACTATCAAACTAATCACTTGCATCATTATAACCCCTATTTTCTGATTCAGGTTTCACTACACTTGCCATCACGATCGACCAAAACAAAGCACGACTCACGCATTTATATACACACAAACGCCGAGGACAACCGTTCAAAAAAAGGCGGAGATATTCAAACGCCCCATTGTTTAGATACAAGCTTCATTTACGGATGAATATCAACAGTTTTATTAATATATTTTCATGACCTCCGCACGTACCTTCTTGATCACACCAGCCATTTCTGCCGATGCGGGTCAACAACGCAACTTCCGTCGCTTGAGTGTGACGTCCGTGGCTCGCTCTTATCTTCATGTAGTTTATTAAATATTATTTGGCTCATTTGTGCTTTCTTTTAGCCAAATTCTCTATATCATCTTAGTTTTATATATTTAATTATTGTTTTAATTATTGTTTCGTATATTCTTAATAAAGCATTATTTTATTGAGTACTTCAAATAGGTTCTCCATTTAAACTTTAATTAACTTTTTTAGCCCTCTTAAAATTAAATTCGTCTTGCTAAATAATAATAATAATAGTGTAAGTTTAAAAAAATAAAAACTTTACTTAAAAAATAAAAACTCTAACTTTATCACATTACTTTATTCACTGCCATTATATAGACGTCTCTTAAAATGGCTCCTTTTGTGGTCTGAAAAAGAAAGAAGGGCATACGGCATTAGAACGACATAAAGGTGAGAAAATGATGACTTAAAATAAAATTTTTGCCTAAATGTAAGAGCAGGTGATGACCTGCTCCCTCCAGTGTTGGGGAAAGTTACTTTTAAAAGTAATGCATTACAATATTGCGTTACTCCCTAAAAAAGTAACTAATTAGTTACTTAGTTACTTTTTATGAAAAGTAATGTTTTACGTTACTTTTGCGTTACTTTCACGTTACTTTTAAAATATGAGCAGGGCTTGATTGTTTTTAATGTAAGAAGTTCTATTTATAGCAAATATAAAAGCCCTTTCAACCTCAGGCTGAAGGAAAAGTAAATTCATGTCTGTGCAGTAGAACACAGGAGAAAAAGGTTCAACATTCTTCAGCAATAAAAAAAACAATGAAGCACAATTGTTAGTTTGTCTAAAGTCATTTTTGCTTATTAGTATGGTTGAACTGGATCATCAAAGGTCAGCAGCAAAGACATTGGTTAATAAAATGGGATTAGATACATTTGTGTAATTTAACATATTTAATTATTGCAGGTTTGCGTCATATTCTGAGTTTGCATTTCACTGTTTTAATCATTCATCGTCAAGTGCGCTCGTTCCTGTTGGTTTCGTCAATCTGGCAACCTGCGTGTGCGTCAATGTAGCCTACATGAAAACTCAAAAGCCTAAAAAACAAAACACACACACACAAACACACACACACACAAATCCCCCTTTTTGCAAAGCAATTGCAAATGTTTTATTGAAAGAGTAATCTATTAAATGCAGTTAACAAATCATACCATTAAATATGAAGCTACCTCTATCCTGAGACTTAGCTACATGTGACAGAAATGGAAGACAATTCAATCTATGATGCATCAATCAGTAAACACAACAACATAAAGTCATTGTATAGTTGAGAACAAACATGAGTCAACATCTAAGTCACCCATAGATAAACTAAAATAATTTCGTAAGATTTTTTGTCCTGTACTGTGTTTACACTGTGAGTTTGAGTTCACTGTGAGATTATATCTGTTTTGAGAGTTAATCTTGATCATTTAGAAACTAGTTGGCTAGATTCATGTTGCTCTGTTGACCAATGACAAAATCGTAAAATATGAAATTTGGATGTCAGCCCCTCTACCTGCCACTGGCAGCACTGGGGTTGTTTGTTTCATTGATTAAAGCTTATTAACTTATTGACCGCAAGATGGAGCTGATGATCAGCTGTTTGTCACAGTGTGGTGGAAAAAGTTTTGATAAAGAAACGTTTTCTTTAAAAGAGTGATGTAGCCTAATTGTTTTAAAGGATATGGAAATTGTAATTTAATTTATTAAAGTCCTATTTTGCTCTCAAAATAATATGCTTCTGTTTATCTACTGGATGACTATTTTAGATGCTGATAAAATCGCATATTTGTTTTAAAATATAAAAATAAATATTTGTGTCTGATCAACGACCACCATTGCTTATGATGACTTAAATTTAAGTCATCATTTTCTCACCTTCATGTCGTTCTAATGCCGTATGCCCTTCTTTTTTTTTCAGACCACAAAAGGAGACATTTTAAGAGACGTCTACATATTGGCAGTGAATAGCGAGTCGGTAACCCAAAAATAAGTAATTTCCGGTCAGTTGGTGGCGCTATAACACGGTTCGTCTGGTAGAACCTGTGCGGTTCATCATCCGC